CCTCTGTCTTATTGCATTCGTTCTGGGAAAAGGTGGCAATTGTGGTATTTCGACCTATAAGGTTGACCTGATTTTGGGCTAGTAACCATATTCATCCAGGCTGAAATTGTCATATTCCACATAAACACAGGTATCTATCGATTGTGTCTCTAAGTCTGCTTTGCCTAAAGGGTTGTTAGCATCGTATATACCATTAACTATATCAAGTGAGCTACCTCTTGTTCATCTGAAACATAGAAAAGCGAGCGTGGAGAAATTACTTCAATGGACTACCGGTAAGGCTCGTTTCTAAAAGAAAATGCAGGTTTCAGCGGTTGATGCAATAATATATATTGTGGAGTCTACAAGACTGAAGCATTTAACTAAATTTATTGCACAAAACTATGGTTTTGGCAGTTTGACAATTTAACAGGCCGGGACAAGAAGGATGCAACCCTCAGACGAAAAGCATCGAAGATCTAAACAGTGGTATTCATGAGTACTACATGATAGTGTGGCAACAACTACCCCTTCTACTGAGGAGAACATTTGTGGCTGAGGTGACCTTCATGACCTTTGCCTAGATCAACGAACCAAATAACGACCATTTCCAGCTGTCTTACCTTTGAGAGCCTTTGTGGTATCTGAAAAGAGCATGGATGCAAATTCAATGCCTTTTAAATTGTGCAACCGAACCCCCCGTTGCCTTACTGACGAAATGGGTAAAATCCAGACAAGGATGTAGAGGACGTACAAAGTGTTATATCATGCCAGTATTTTGAAACTAAAAAGTTTTTCTTACGTTGTTTCTAAACATAATGAGCCTCATTGTCAAACAAATGTTTTTCTTTGTGTACAAAGTTCAAAAATGGTAGAACTTCACTGTTCTCTTTTTAAAAAAAACCCTAATTCTAAAGCAAATTTTCATGCTTCATGACCTTTGCCTAGATCAACGAACCAAATAACGACCATTTCCAGCTGTCTTACCTTTGAGAGCCTTTGTGGTATCTGAAAAGAGCATGGATGCAAATTCAATGCCTTTTAAATTGTGCAACCGAACCCCCCGTTGCCTTACTGACGAAATGGGTAAAATCCAGACAAGGATGTAGAGGACGTACAAAGTGTTATATCATGCCAGTATTTTGAAACTAAAAAGTTTTTCTTACGTTGTTTCTAAACATAATGAGCCTCATTGTCAAACAAATGTTTTCCTTTGTGTACAAAGTTCAAAAATGGTAGAACTTCACTGTTCTCTTTTTAAAAAAAACCCTAATTCTAAAGCATAATTTTCATGCGAGAGCGTGCCGGTGCGAAACTTACATTCTTTTATAGCTGCATTGGTATTGAAAGACCATTTAATCATAGGCGAGGTGCACTGGGGGAAATCTACAACTGGCTTTTGGATCATGTGCCGACTAACCCAGTACAATTGAACGGGCGTCAAATAAATGAAGTAAGGCATGAGTAAAGCCAACCATATGTACCCGTTTAACACAGACCTGTGTGGACAAGACCACTTTATCCGAAGTTCTTAGTCATCGTTGCCCAACCATGAAAACAGAATCTGTGTAGCTTGAAAACCCGACGGCCGATGACCAAAATTGACTATTGGTAATTGTATGCTGTTGCCTTGTACCCGATACGGATGTCTTCCCCATGCTGTTGGATAAACCAAGGCCTTTCAGCAGTTGTAATACTACACAGAATTATCACGCAACAAGGTGTACTGCTAAGGAGGACCCATTCCTAACCAGATGGTCGAATGATCGATTCCTCTTGATATACCATTACGAGGGGCAAGGAGACCTGCTCATTATATTGCTAGTCGCTTCCACCAAATGTCATCAAATGAAGACTACGGCCAGTGCCGAAACTGCTAATGAAGAGCGCATTTGTAGTTTCGTAGGTTACACGCTGCTTATGATTCCCAAGATGGATGAAACAACTTCACACTTCGTCAGGTGCTAGAACAACTCACAACTGAGGCTGAGTTCTAATCAGCAAACGTGTATCAGATATGGGTATTACCTTACACGTCTAAGGCTAGTGACTGTTTCTACGGTTGTTGTCTCAAAGTGCAGTATCTCGCAGAGGCGAATGGAAAGATTATCCGGGAAAGGCACAGTCATATTACACCGCAAGAATCAGATGACTAAGCTGGTCGCACGCAGCGTATGTTCCTAAACGTGTGGCTTCTCTTACCCATTATTGCGGTATTTATTCCGAAGAACGGTCCCGATAAATGACAATCGAGGTTTGCGTTTTAGAATTTATTTTAGCACAATCAATTCTATGGGAGAGTGGAGACTGAAAGTGAATTCATGCCAATGTTCGGGCATATCTGGGAAGACGATCGTCATTGATGGGTGTGCGCCGGATGCTGTCAATGAGCGGGATGTTGAGAGTTCTATCGAGAACTTGTTGTGTTCAGAAGTGCTTGGCACTTGCCAATTTCTTCGTCCCGGTTATTTCCACTGAAACTTCAGGTTTGTGTCTGTACTGCACACTAGTGATCGCCAACTGTTCCCCGTGCAGTCGATTGCGAGAGAATGATGTGCAACATTTCCCGGAATTGCGTCACATTTGTCAAAATATTCGGTTTCCTGGCATCCATATTTAGCGGTCGTTTTGTGCTAAAACGGAGTGATGTTCCCAGGGTGCTTGTTTATACAATAGAATGAGGGGTGTTACACTTAGGTAAGGAGTGTCTTCGAAACGAAAGACTCAGCTAAGTATTCTTGGTGACAGAGTAGTAGTTTATTGGAAACAACACCTCAGTCTGAGCATTCTGAAGACATGTTCGGTGTGTCAGTATGGAGGAGCTCCGGTGACTAAATCAAATAACTGTGAAGCACCGTGCCAGTAATGGTGGCGTACACTGAAGTCAAAGGGCTTTTAGTGATCTAAAACTAGGTAGGCTGAAAGAAGTTTGCTAATTTATGCCACCAGTGTACCCTCTATCGAATAACGTTATAAAGAACTTCTTGGTCTCGGCTTTGACACTAAGTTGGCTCTCAAACTCGTTGAAAGTGGATACCATTCGATGAGACACCAAAGTAACCAAAGTAAGAATGTCTCAAATCCAGTTCTGAGCGCCACTTTGTATGATATCAACGAATTAGTACTTCTTGAGCTCCCATTGTGTAGCGGCCGTTTGGAGATTCATATCCAACAACTGAGGAGTTCAATTGCATTCGGTTCCGTTCACAGTGTGCGGAATTAATGGCCTACCGATATCTTTAGTATGCTAATCGAGGGAACTCCATGCTTAGGGAGTTCTTCGAAGTCCACCAATGAAAAGCTGCTTATATTCAAAGATTTACCTAACAATCTGTGTACAAACTGAATTCACTTCAGGTGCTTCAAGAGATGTTTCCGCGTTCCTTCGGTGATTCATAGTAAGTTGCAGTGTTAGCTGTGAGATGAGCTTACGAGTATAAACCAGTCCAAAGTCATGGCCCTGATCTATTCAAGCACCATCTGATGTAGGATTGCAAATATGCATGAACAAAGTGTACACACATTCTGTTGTGAAAAGAAGAAAATCTAGGTAACCCTGTCCTCACTGGCCTGTCAGCTGGTTTATACCAATCTGTTTTGCGGAGAGTAGATATTTTCTTTCAGCAGTACCATACAGCTTACATTAGAGGAGACTGGTGTTCGTTACTTATGTTCATCCCAGTCTGTGTTACGGATTACCTGCATTTAGCTTCAGTCCGAGGTGAAGGAAGATCTATTGAAAGTGGTCCTAGTTGAGAGGGACATTGGCTTCACGGGTTCCCGTACGAAGACCGTCGGTGATACTTTGGTCTGGATCACCAGCGTCGATATTTCCTAGCACACGACGAGGATTTTTCGTGCTATTGGGGAAGACGAATACTAATCTGGGTTCTCAATGAAGTGTTGGATGACGCCAATACGTCATTGATTGTCGGTTGGCCGGCACTAGTGCTCAAATGGGCTGCCTGGACATTGTGATCCATAAAACAACCAGGTCATTATTCTACGAACACAGGACACTCTGTCTACGCGTGTCAACAATTCATTTCACTTCACTGGCAGCTCATCACATTTTACGGGACTGAGGATTAGTGCATGAATGAATTTTCAGAGTGACTGATCATTACTCAGCATACTTCTCTGGAGTTGTGAAACAAGAGTTCTCATTGATTAAATTGAAACAAGCACCGAGAACAAAGAATGGCTCCAAATGTCTATTAGGACTAGTGTAATTCTGTGATTGCTCGTTTAGATGTCTGCTGTTGTCAAATTAACTTTAGCGCATACAGGATAATAGACCAAGCAGTTTGGGTTAGATAGACATGAAAGACCGATATTGGAGAAATGGTGCCATAAAGGAAATATCCGGAAGCGAGGAAGTTAAAGTCATAGTGTTTGGGTATTGCGTGCGGGAACGAAGGGAATGAAAAAGTCGCATTCAATAGTTCCTGGGAATAAGCGTGGTTATGGGTTTGGGGTATAGAGTGGCCGCACTATAGGTTTGTCCTCACTAAAGGAGAGCCAGACAAGTCCACAGAAAGATAAACGCACGGGTCATTTCTTTTATCTGGTGCAATAGCGTGTGAATACGCAGCTTGTAGGTTACAGGCTCCAACCAAACACCCTAACAAGGATTGTCCCGGTCAATAATTACTCATTTATAGCTTGTGAATAAATCCATTCAATGAGCTAAATATACATGTCATTCCTATCTCTCACTTGATGTTCCGGATTTTATACCATATTACCCATACTATATTATCTCGTAGTCCTCTGTTTTTCACCTTTGTTCGGGGGACGTTTTGGACCGAGAATTCAGTTTGAAACAATGGGCTCTTGTGTAGTATGACTTTTCTAAAGATTGAGAAATAAAGTCCCAGAAGATGCACAAACTTACGTTCCTTGGTATTATCATTGTGACCACTGAAGTTATTTGGGGAGTGAATGTCCCATTAGGTATGATATCATTGTCTGTGCATGCTAACTATAATTAAATTTCTTTTGTCGAATTATCGTTTTAGGTACAATGTGCTTACAACGTCCGACGACGTAACGTCCCTCGGTGGGATCAACTGGATGTTAGTATTTTGTCTGTTTTCTACATGGACACTCACGTTTGCCGGTCTCGTCAAGGGTTTCGAAAGCGCTAGAAAAGTGAGTGAGATTAATGAAATTCGGTTCTTAGGACGGAATTCTAGCTGAAGGTGAGGAATGTCTTACATGTATTGCTTTGAGCAGTTAAGTTGGGTCAATGCATGATATCTTATTATTACTCCAAACTTCGGATTGCGGGAGTTTTCAGGCTGGTTACATTGAAAGTGCCCCAATAATCAGATAATCAAATAATTTAGAACGCTAAGATTACCCACGCGAGTTAAAATACATTGCGTTTTAATAAAAAAATTTACTTTCAAAAATATTCGCCATAAAAGAAACAAAGCACCATTTCGACGCTTTCCTGGTTGCTTTTCTTGGTGGTCAGATACTACTGTGCATTAAATTGAGTCACACACAGTTGTCCGTATTTTGAAGCAAATGAAACATACATAAGAAGTTGTGTCGCTTGATTGCTGCCTAATGGTTTTTGTTTTACTTCTGAGATCTGTTTGCCCGGCAGATTTCTGGCGAAGAAACAGTTAAGACGAAGCGTTCTCTAGCGTACGGGTGAATGCCAAACTGACTGGTTTCCTGTGAGACCAGTGGAGTAGAGTCTCTTCAGTTTCCCGTTAACCTCGTTAGAGCAGTTTTTATTGTTGCGTTGATGTAATTTTACTGAGCAATGCTGTGGTTATATATGTCCTGTTGATCAGGTGTGACTAACCGTTCAGATGAACAATCCTGTTTGTCCACCGGCTGGTACGTTCTCTAAATGGCCGGTGTCCAGACCATCTTTCACCTTGACCTCTGCAACCCGTAACCAGTGAAACTGTTCATTCTGTGGTTACGGTGGTTACCATCTGGACCGCACTGCTAAGAATCGATCCAAATCTAAACTACCGCGCACTGATGATGCTAACTCAACTGATAAGGACACGTGTGCTACTAAAGCTTCAAGTTCAGCGATCAGGCAGCACCTCTCACTGCAAGCATATTTAGTGAACATCACCTACGCAACAAAGTGATAGCAAAAGTTTAACATCGCACATTACGTTTTACTTAAGCAACAACTTCCCGGAATTACAATCCTAAACTTAACAACCAGCCTAGTTTTGTGGCTCGTGTTCGTGTTTAATGATGAGGCAGTTGACACCATTACAAATTATTTTTACAGTCCCTTATACCTTATTACTTGATGCACGAGACCAGTTGACTTGGTCCGTTACAAGTCCTGAAGTCTGTTAAAAAAGCTTTAACTTTCCTATCGGCTGTACCTCGCAGTATCTCAGCAATTGTGGTAGTTGGACTGATGACAAACACTTGCCAATCTGTGTTGATCACCAAGTCGCCAAGCTCGGGCTTCAAAGGTATCAGATGAACACCGAAATCCCTCCTCATATCAAGATGTGTCCATCTTAGCTCATGTTTGTAGGGCATTCATTTAGAGTGTATTCCACCTAGTGAGCTGTGTTGTTCAATTGAGGTAACTGGCATTTGAAAAGAATTCTAATACCTTTGATATTACCGTGGATGATCTCATTAAAATACCCCACCAATATTAGCTTTTCCGAGAAATATGTTCTCTGAGTCTTCCATGTATTTGTATGTGTGGAACTCTTGTTGAGTCAAGGACATCACTCCCTACGAAAAGAACAACACTTTGTTATATTCCGTCCCTTCAAGCAAAATAACTCTATGGTCAATAAAATTCAACTTGCTAGCTGGTTAGCCGCTTTGTACGTAGGTTGTAAGCGGTAAGCGAAATGAAAATGGGCGCCGTTCAAATAACTGATAATTGCAAAGTAATTTGGTGTTAAAAGGAGGCGCAGGTGAAACCAAACAGAATATGCAGTTAGTGATAGCTCTCACGTAGATTTGCTGCACAGAGCCCTTCTCATGCTTCGCTTGGCACGTGCATTTCCCACAAAATACGCCACTTAAAAGTCGATTAAAATGTTCCACAGACTACTGTTAGTTTTTCCTTTCTTTTAGCTCAGTTAATATGTATAGCTTCAGAGGGTCTCAACATTAAGCTCAAGCGTATAAGAAATGTGGTATTTTGAATATCGCGCTAACCATAGAGTGAGATGGCATTTATTCAACACATTCATTTAGAATACCACAAATTGGGAGTTATTTGGGATTTCCATTGGAACCAACCCAATTTTTCAGCCAGTGTGCTCCACCAGTTACGTTAATTTTAGCGTCCGAGTGGAATGTAATTTTGATGGATACTCCGGGACCACGTTTATTTGAGGTGCCTCAAGAAGGACCGAACTGATGGTGGGCTGGCAGAGTTTTTGGGCAACCTAAGAAGAAACCATTCTTCAGACATATTTGATGTTGTTCTAAAAATAGCCTTTCTTTACTTCGGTGGTGGAAATCTATATGGTATTATCATTAAGCTGGCTGCCAATCGAGTGGCTGTACGACCACCCTTGGAAAGCCATCGAATTCGCTCTTATTTCCAGTGACAATTTAGAGACAACGCTTAACCTCAGCGCCTAAATTCAAATTTCAGTCCGGCTATACGCAGTAACTCAGTAATCTGTGTGGAGGTCAGTTTTTCAAAGTATACAAAATCTTTTTCCCGTTCTGATTTAGACAACCGTTACTGATTGCCACTGCCCTACCTCTAGGTGGAGAATACCTCACTTCTACCGTCTACCCACATGTTTTATCTACGTATCGCTCTCTTCGTCCTCACCTATCTCATCTGGGGCCAGGTAATTTTTGAGTCTACAGGTTTCATCCTACATAAACTTCAAACACAACTGCAACCGACAATGATTAAACTGTCGGTGAAGATTTTATTAATTTTGCCACTACTAACCGCATGGTACGCGATCAGTAGCTGTCCTATCGTGCTACTGTCATAGGCGAAATCACTTCGAGTGATTATTTCCCCGGAAAAAACAGGGTTGACAATAGTACGTGAATTTTAAGAACAAGGGTTGCTATCCATTTGGAAGTTTACAGCTGTGTTAGCGACCAGCGTGCCACCGACAAAGCAAACGATTCATGCACCAAATGATTCACTGCACTTGTAGAGGAAAAGTAATTTTTTACATCGATTTTTTATTGAAATTATTCAACAGTTTCGAGCACTCAGCGGTTTCGCCACCGAAGTAATTGAAAAAAAAGACTCTACGGGTATTCCTGAACACCACAACGCCATAAGATCAGTCGAGGATAGATAATGAAGCTGCGTTCCTGCTTCACACAATCAACTCAATGAGGTTAATCTGACGAGGAGCGTTCAAAATCACTTGTTACATATGGGGTTGGCCAAATTTAAGTATCTTTTGACTATATAGTTGGTGAAAAGTCTGTTCGACGAAACAAGCCATATTCAATTGTTTAGCCATATAGTCCACAATTCTGCTGGCAATTGTATAGCCTGGTTGCCATTTCAAGTTGTTTCATGAAGGAAACTTAAGATAACCAACTTCATTGGTTGGTACAATCACATACGAGGTGTGTTGTGTTACCTAGTACTTTTAATGCGTACTTGTAATGCTTCCCGATTACTCTTTGAATATCTTTGTTATTTGTTCGGCTCTCATATAGAATCTACCAAACTTCTACTGTTTTCTCAACAACAGATAAGGTTTCTAACATCTACAGTACCCTACATATTTCTGCTCATTCTTCTTATACGTGGAGCAACTCTGCCTGGTGCTTGGATAGGTGTGGAGACTGGCTTCAAACCGAAGTGGTCAGATTTGTTGAAATTAGAAGTGAGTGCCGAGAAGTTATCTGCGGTGACTGGTGTGCCACTTTGTAAACAATTTACCGGCTTTTTTATTGCGGTCTCCAATTCTGTGAGGAATAATCAGCTCCTAACTGTTTACTGCATTGATTTGTGTATTTTATGAGTACGTATTCTCTTGCTTATTGTTCATTGTGCATCAACAACAGCCCGATAAGTTCACAAGCTGTTTAAGTCCGAGTTCACGAGGGCTGATCCACCTTTTCACTCACAGTGATATACAAGCATCCGGACTTGATATTAACACTGAAGAACCAGAATATCCGGTTCGCCTTTGAACCTTCACCAAAGGGTCTGCGATACGTGTATTATCGGTGCCTGAACTAGACAGCGTTTGGGGTCTAACACAGGTAAACTGTTGCATAGGGATTCCACCAAAACAAACAGCAAGTAAACCTTATATGACACTCATATTCTGCTGCAAGATATCAGTGTAAGGCGCAGTAAGAATATCTGAATCAACGACTGCGTACGGAGCGAAATTCGCCTAAGAAATGTCTTCATAACAAACAGAAACAGATAAGCGTTGAAGCAATTCGGTCCATATCCAGCAGATAAACTGGACTCTCTCAAACTTATAAACTCAAACAAAACTACCCAAGTGCTGGCCCTTGTTTGGGAGATAACAAATGTGGTGAAAAGTAATTCTGCTGAAATTGGTTGGAACCATTAGACTGTTTTTAACGTTATAGTGAATTTGGAAGATCGGTTATAAGCTAAGTATTTGTAAACTTGCATGAGTTACTGGGCGTGCGGCTCCACACTACATCTCGTATCATATGCACTAGTGCAACTTGCCTATGGCTATCATGATAATGAATGTAATTTTAAGAAATCTCAAAAATACTTTATGAACAGACCGCTTCAGTTGATGAGTTCTAGTCACTTTGATTAACAGGGCGCGGTAAGTCGCGGAGAGTTGTGATAAGAAGCAAATATCTTAGGCCCAAGTACCAAGACCATCTTGCTGTTCCTAATCTACAGAGAAATAAACATTTTATGCTGTATAGACCAAAAATCACCATATTCAACAGATTTCCCTGTTAAATACTGCCTATTCTAGGTTTGGTCTTCTGCTGCTATACAAGTGTTGTTTGCCGTCGGACCAGCTTGGGGAGGAGTGATAACGATGGCGTCATATAACAAGCATGATCGTCCACTTTTCAGGTCAGTTCAGAATGTTCTATTTCTCTGCTTCTGTGCACCTGTATCCTGGACAGTTTGAATTGTCCAATTTGACGAACAAAATTTAAACCGTTACATTTTATGTAAGAACATCTGCTAGGTAGTTACCACCAACTCGAACCTAGTTGAATGCTTCGGGCTTGCAAGCATGCGTTCCCTACATAGCAAGGCGATCACATGCAGAAATTATTCCCTCCGTAAACGTACGCACTCCACAGAAATCAAGATAGAATGCGTACAACACGTTTTGCGTGGCTCACACTGTTAGCTGACTTCACTGGAATGGTGAAATTCTTCGGCGTGTCACCTTTGCTACCGACTATGTCTCGATTGGTTTCGTGTGCCCAGGGGTCTGTGAGCTCCCCTGCTCATTAGGTGCAATCCTAATGACGGATAACTTGTGCACATGGGTTTATGATAAAAATATGAGGTTGCTCATTGATCGAAATCATGAAGCGGTGCGTGTAAACATTTGTGTTCTTGCCAAATGTCAATACTAAACAGATGCCAGGTTATGCGTATTGTGTCTAGTTGGGAGGGGATAAAAGTTGATCATAGTTTCCACCTATTGAATATCGTCACCTGACTTGGCGCGACAACCAAAAGACACCGTCTTCAGTCGTCTAAAGGCTCACTTAAGTCCGGACGAACGCACGGATAGTTTCCACCTATTGAATATCGTCACCTCACTTGGCGCGACAACCAAACGACACCATCTACAGTCGTCTAAAGGCTCTCTTAAGTCCGGACGAACGCACGAAAATCGTACCTATATGAGCAACATTAGACAAAACACCCCTGAAACAAAGTACTCTCAATCAAAAGTGCAACATACGCTCATGGACTACGCGATGATAAAGCTGATTCTCAAAATTTAAAAAGCAACTACTATGGGATACGCAAAAACGACGGCAATTCCAAGAATGTTGGTAAACGATACACGATTGTGTGATATATTTCAAGAAAAGTCCAAAGAACATCAACTGCGTCATTGTAAGGCACCAAATGTCTACAGGTTGCCATCTTGAAAGTGCTATCAATTGACGTGAATTTCTTGCTGACATCTTTGCAGCGAATGATTCTACGGATTGTGCTTGCGCCTTTACAGTTCGTGACAGTAGATTTACTGTCGTGTGATCACTTATGGGAAGTTCATTTCGCGTTTGATTTCTTCCTTAGAATTTGCACATGATCTGTGAATCGTTCGCCGTTACCGAAAACTCACAGTAATGGATAGAGCTTTTATACTGGTTAGGTTGATTTGTCCAATTTTACAACTTTCGCTCAGCTTCCACTTTAGTTGTAGGTGCCTATTTAAAAAGAACAGGCGCGTTGAGAGGTCACACTTTACTAAAATTGTTAGAACGAACGTTTGTATATTTGCATGTCAGAATAGACTGGAAATTTAAAAACGTGCAGTAGAAAAGATGTGAAAGTCAAATACTACCAAGAACGCTCTGCAAATGCCTGGTTTAGTATGTATGAAAAGTCATGCAGGCAATTCATTTATTGTTGGCACAGACTTTATGGTGAAAAACATCAAACTGGCACATGAGTGATACAAGCGAAGGTTTAGATCAGTGTAACTCATCTTATGCGAGCTTTCATTGCTTACCTGGATGCAAAATTCGCGTATCATATGGGGATAATAAATATTATGTCAGACGCATACCTTGTTCATGGCTTTTCTTAGTCTATCCATGCATAATCTAAACGACAGTTTTTCCATTTTTGCGTCCATTTTAAGGATAATATCTGGGTGGTATTTGTGAAAATTCTGTGTCTACTGAATCTCACGGTATTTTCGCTGTATTGCGCAGGTGTCTACATCATTGTATGGGTTATATTTGCAACTGAAAGTTTATTTATTCCAACGATTAAAAGTTAACAATGTGTATCCAAATTATGAGAGCGTCCAATCACATCTCATGTAAGTTCTTAGTAGTAAAGTAATGGGTACTGAACCTCTTCCGGGTAAGAGGACTTTCGGCCTATACAGTCAGTTTCTCTACAATAAATTATGGATTAAATCTTTAACTCAAGGCTTCGTTTAATGCAATAGTGGTCGAGTTATTCATTGCTTTTTAGATATACCTCGATATAAATCGACTCCTTTCGTTACCCTTCCACAATTTTATTCTATAGGGACGTGTTTGTTGTACCACTGGCCTGTTTTTTCGTCAGCCTCTTTGCCGGAGCTACTGCACTCACCGTGATGGGACATCAGATGCATGTGGGAGGAGTGAATGCGATCCAGCGCCTTAGACATTATGGGCCAGGTATATCATTCATCGTTTACTCCGAGGCATTGGTGAAGATCCCATGTGCGGCCATTTGTAGTGTTTTCTTTTTCGCCATGTTGTACGTCCTGGGGTTATCTTCTCAAGTAAGTCCATCACTTGTCAATATTTCTACTTTTACGACTGTCGCATTAGAAAAAACTTAAATCCAAAAAGCCCTTCGGAATGAACTGGGATGATTTTCTGATATGAATTCAGTAATAGTTATACTAGATCACAGTATGATGCGAAAATGGGGCATATGAAATCAAAATAGACATACAAAAAACGTTCAGGAGGAGAGAGAGAGCCGAAGTATGGAGCTCACCGAACTAGCACCTGGGATTGTACTAAGCAGACGGATGAATCCAGAAGCAGAGAAATTGTCGGTTTAAGTCTGAAGCAACTGTATAAGACATGGAACAAACCACATTTGTGTAAATGCAATCAGGAGGGCGAAATGATCGCTGGGATAAGTCAGGGCACACCGCATAAAACGAACATACTATACAAACAGAAATCGTATTTTTTGAAAAGCAAATAGTTCAAACCAACCGTGGCATTCGGCAGTTCTCTCAATTGTTTTATTTTTTCGCAAAATGTGCTATTTATACGTAACTTTGTGGTTTGGTTAGGTGGATATTTATAGCGTTGTATAATTCAGAATCATTATCAATCCAATAATTAATCTCGTATGGACGAAAAGTAAAACAACTTGAATAAAGTTATCAACAAAATAGTGTGCGGATTTACCAAAAGTTGTTTCCAGATCGATCCAAGCCAGAAGATAACTTGATTTATCGCACAAAACAATATTCGCCGTCGTTATTCAGTCAGACAAGCGAAGGCTAGAGAGGAAACATTTTATGGATTTGACTTCAGTGAATCTCTCTAGGAAGACTCATAAACACTTTATGTAATGACACAAATATTAGAATTTCGCGAAGTGTAACACTTATTTAAAATAAAAATGACCTATTCAGCCAGGATGTGTTGGCGTTTAATGACACTGTGCACAGGATTGAAAAAAAATAACGGAAAACCCAAAATATGCTGGACGTGTAGTTGCTCAAGTTGATGTGAAGAAAAATTCCAGGTTGTGCAGAAATTTGTCACAATGCAAGCACTGTTTGGAGGCAGGGCCAGCAAAGATATTCGCCAACAGCGGACCACGGAAAATTGGCAAACAAATCAAATTCTTTTGCCTCGCAGGAAATATTTGGTGGATAAGGTCATAACATGATCTGAGGCTGAAACACTATTAGTTGCAGGGGCACCTCAAGCAGCTGGAACTTTTGGATGCATAAATGCATACTTGGTGCCTGATGAGTTCCTATCACAAATTCGTACACGTGAGGTCCACATGTGACCTACTAGGATAGGTTCTGGTCCGTAGTATTCATTTCGTTACCGATATCTATTTTGGAATGAGTCACCATACTGCTGCAATCCTTCCTAACTCTGCAATGCACACGGGGAAAATTTTTGGTATTTGACAGAAAAAAGCCCCTGAACTCCATTATTCTCTGCACAACAGCCCAAGTGAAATAGCGAGGGATTTTATAGCGTTATTCTAGTCTGAATTCATGTGAAACAATCCAACGTCTCCATCAGAGATCACAGGTCACTTGGAACTGGCCAGTCAGTTGGTATCGATTCGACATTTTGTGATATGTTGCGATGTGATCCAGGGCTATTACGAAAGTAAAATGGACACGACTGCTAGCCCCTATTATAAGCTTAGGAGTATTTTATGGTCTCGTTGCGCTTGATCTGCTTTACATGAATGAGTATCACTCCTGTTAGCGGCTTCAGTTAATTTTCTCTGCATTTATTAGTACCATTTTCTGATTGTGATTAAAAGGAGTATCTGAAAAGGTTCCACCCTACAAGTTGTCTTTTATCCAAAGTTAAATTTTTCAAACTTCGATGATGACGAACCCTCTTTGCAGGTAATGTTGTGTGAAAGGTGCACTGAAAATCTTATAGTCCGATACTGTATCCGGTACCGCATACATGTGATGGTCTTTTGTGAGGGCGTTGTTGTAGTGCATGCCCTTCGATGATCAGCCTCATGGATTCGTGGTTCACATCAAGAGAAACTTCTTCTTATGGGATTCAGCGATCATGTCTGCTACCTTTTAACAATAAAAACGACTCCAGAATGTGTGTATGAAACGACCTTCTGCGCATTTTGTGTCTCCTTTATTGAGGGAGCTCCATGCGAAGAGCTTCATTTGAAGGACGATAATCATCTGGTTCCTCAAATCCTAACAATTATCTGGCCTTCACAAGACAGATATTTAGGAACAGAGCATTTTGTTGCCTATTCATAAAGACGGAATGGTGATAAACGAACGGTGGGTGACCACAATCACTTGAGATTTAACTCGGCTATAAGCTACGGTTTAAACGTTCTAGTTTTGCTTACTTTACAAGTTAAGATAATGAGTAAAGTAGCGTGCTAATTAAGCGAATTACGGTCATGTGAAACATGTGTTCTCATTTCAGTTCGCTACGTCACATGACTATCCGGATAAAACAGCTTGGTCCAATTTGATCGAGTACAAAACTTAGAAGCCATGCCTATCAACCGGTTTCAACTGGTTACCACTGATATTATGATTTTGGAGTGTTAGCGTCTTGCGGATTGGGGTTACTCCTCCAGGGCATTCAACCGCTTAAGGCTATTCTGAATTTAGCTGGCTTGTTTTACGCTCTATCTAAACCATACCATTACGAATATTTCTTCGAAAGTTTCATATTTAGGTTAGTTTAAAAGTCAACATATATTTTTTTACTGAGGTCACTTACTGCAAGCGCAGCCGAAGTCTTCTTGGGAGTAGACATTTGCACTGCCTTCTCTCAGCATTTATGAGCCAGCGTGACGATACCTTTCGACTTACCTTACGCAGACCCCGAGTCCACTGCATTTTGTAACTACTGTATCTAATCAGAATGGATCAGAATGTGGTAATATCTTCGAACCTCCGATTCAGCTAGATTCCAGACTACTAAACCACAACATGGAGCAATTCTTGTGCAACCCGTCATATTGTTTGCCACTCGCACGAATACTGCTGGCTTATAGCAGCGAAATACAACTAATAACTTCAGTACCAATTTACAGGATAGCGATAATTTACTGGCGATGGTAGAACATTTTTGCATAACAACAGGAACGAGAACAATTGGTAACTCCGGGAGTTTTCAGAATTTAAACCTAAAAAAAGAGAAGTTCGTAATTCTTAAGACAAGGAAAAAAATTAAGAGCTTCCTGAAGAACTACCATCCGAAATATGGTTTTCACTGTTTTTGGCCCGGATTTTTACATGTCCAGCCATCCATTTGTAACCACTGCAAAAAGGGAAGTTTCAGTCTGAAATTTCTGTTCTTCTAGAAGGTCAATTTAGATTCTGAACGCAGGCACACTTACTAACTAACTAACTAACTAACTAACTAACTAACTAACTAACTAACTAACTAACTAACTAACTAACTAACTAACTAACTAACTAACTAACTAACTAACTAACTAACTAACTAACTAACTAACTAACTAACTAACTAACTAACTAACTAACTAACTAACTAACTAACTAACTAACTAACTAACTAACTAACTAACTAACTAACTAACTAACTAACTAACTAACTAACTAACTAACTAACTAACTAACTAACTAACTAACTAACTAACTAACTAACTAACTAACTAACTAACTAACTACTAACTAAACTAACTAATTCATAACCAATTGACACAACGAAGTCATGCTGCTGACAAAATATACCCAAGTTAGGCAAATAAGCCTTTGGAATGATAAACATCCTTGATAAGTTCGGTTTTCCTACACTGGGGAATGCGTGGCCATATTTAACCAATCACTGGTGAAGCCAAACACATTTCAAGTAGGTGATGTGGATCATGAATTGCGATAATGAGAAGGATTTTACGCGAATCCGCGCATCTTTTGGGAAATAACACTCAGCTAGTATCTTGCTGGTTTTGTCTAATCAGAGCTTATCTGTACAGCGTTGCGCGTGGGTGTTGCGTCCATCAGTGCGTTGAATAAATAGTTTCTTTTGAGGCACTATCCATCATACTGGGAAAACTTTAACTGGGTTCCTTGGGTTTTGGTTTTTCTTGTTAGGAATCGGTTTACTCTAAATTTCGGGAAACTATTTAGTTTTTGTTTTCAAATGTGTTGGAATATTTTGGTCCCTAGAAGATGACTATTTTCCCCTTCGGTATACTTTTGTTTGTTATTACGCTTGTTATTGAACTCAAACGGAGAAGGGAAGCACTCGATGCCACTTGAATATTTTTACCAAAAGTTTTCTTAATAGTCAGGAATCCCTTCAGCTACTCAAAAAGTGAAAGAGTTCTCGTTTTGGCCTACGCAAATGAATTTCTACTTCTGCTCAAAATTTCGAAAATGCTGGCTGGAAAACGCTGTTGATGATCAGGTACTTGGCTTTTTCAGTACAGAATGCTGCTTGTTCTAAAACGGCGCATTTCGTCCTGCTTTATATTCATCGGGTTAATGATCAAGCTTTTTACGGTAGAATCTGCGCTAAAAAGCCAGTATCCGCATTTCTTCCCCCGATGTATGGAAATTGAAGTTGTTTACTGAAACGTAGCCAGTCAGGTGGGAGTTAAGCTGTTCCCCATGCATGTAATTAGGCTTTACACCGGCTTTGGTGTGGAGACAGCAAATGATGCCTGTGCGTACATCTGATAGCTTCCGGTTGGAATAAGACGCATCATAGATCGTTTTTCAGGAGTAATCACTTTATGGTAATTTTCAGATCCGTGCATCGTTAAGTTGTTGCTACTAAGATCTTCCGTGCGGATTGAAGCAAATTAAAGCTTCCTACTTGATAGTTTGCAAGTAGTCAAAAGTTTAATAAATTGCAAGAGCAGGGGACGAATCAACCTGAGAACATTTTCCTTGCGAAGTTGAACTGGTCTTGAGCTGCCCATTTGTTTCGCGACATCGATAGGCTTAGAGGCTGTCCGAGAAGGGAGAAGAGCAGCTGGCAGATAGATTTTCTATGTCGGAAGCACTCTATTTCTGTTTCACCAATGCACAATGATGGAGA